ATATATATATTGTTATTTTTTTGTCTGTTTGTCTCTCTCTCTCTCTCTCTTTTTAAGTATGGCATGATATGTTTGACTCTCTTTTATATATATATACATATTTTATATTTAAGGTATTACAAAACTCACCTCATTCAAAGAATTTCGTCCTTGAAATTCAGTTGGCTAAGATTTGCACATATAAATATGTAGAGAACACATTTGATTATCACTTGCCATAATGCTTCTTCTATTGAATGATTTCTCCCACGAACTTTTAGTCCCAAAATTTAATCTTTTCTATCATATTTTTAATAACTTCCTACGAGCCAATATATAATATTTTCATCCTTTTTATTTTCTCTTTTTTTTTCTAAAACCTTAGGAAAACTCAATTATTTTTCCAATTGGACTTTCAAAATACTACTTTTCATGTTTTCCAAATCTTCACCATACGTCCTAATTTAAACTATTCTCTAATCACATTCCTTTTCTATAACAATGGTTACATATTAAGATCGAACAACAATCTTTCACCCATTTCGTCGTACATCCTTGGAATATCTCAATATTATATATAACCTCAATTATCGTCACTTGTGTCTAGTTTTTATATGTCAATTCCATGAAAAATAAATAATTATCTCAGTCTCCCTTAATTAAACAATCATAGTCGATAGCCTCTCTTTTGAACTTGTCTTCATAGTGTCTGACATTCTATCAAAAAAAGATGTAAAATGTAATTTAATTATATAACTTCTTACAACTAACCAAAGATAGACACTACAATTCCACCATGTAATTAACAATAATGTCTATATATAATTTTATAAATTTATCCTATGAAATGACTATATCTTTTAAAAAGAATCTTGTAACTTTATCAATCTATCCACAATGATTTAAATATTATTCTGTCTTCATTTCGTATATTTAGAATCCCCAAACAAAAATGTTTGAGGGTAACTACCTCCATTCCAAGTTGACAATATATCCAAAAATTCAATTATTCATGATTTTCTAAAATTCTAATTATCCCCAATAAAACAATTGAGATAGCTCAATATGATGTTCTTTTCCTTTAATTCTATATCATCCAATAATAATATATACACAATTTCCATATCCACCATTTCTAATAAAATATACCTTAAAACTCTAATGATTGATATTTCTCGCAATGTGATGACATAATCCCAATAAAACCAACTCCAAATCATGTTTTAATTATACCTCTTCAACAATCTATCATGTAACTCATAATTCATCATTTTACTTCAGAACACTTTCTAACCTTAACATAATCCATTATCATAAATCATTATCGTGAATCAATCACTCATCATCCTTAAATATAAGAGCAAATATTTCCTCAGAATTTCCTAATCGCGAAACTTTTGACATTTCTATACCCATACAAGCTTTGTTCTTTCTTTCTATAAAGAGACAATAATAACATACCCTTATTCCATAAATAGGCAGTTGATCTATCACCAATGCATAAGCCTTCTTGTATATCACATAAAAGACCTTTAATTAAGATTATAACCTAAAAATACCATTCCACAATTGGATAAAATTTACATGATGGTCATCTTAGACTTTAGGCTATCCAACATGTCATCCATATGTTCCATAACGTACAGATTTCGAGAAGAATGGAATGCCTTATTCATGTAATCTGAAAATACAATCGAAAATAACTCAAAATTTACATCACTAAAACTTCATTTGTTCACCTTAACTTCAAAATTTCAAATTCTACGGAATATAACACAATACTCCAACAAATGGCCTTTAAAAAAAAAATTTAATTAACTTAATAACCCAAATCTTTCATCACACTATTTTACTATAGGACAACCATTATATTCATTTACATGCTATTCACCATATCATGTTATGATCATGTAACCTTGGCATTTATCGTCATATTGTATGATCTAAAATATTTAATTATATCAATTTTCCTTAATGCTTCAAGATAATAACATTTATATTTATCACATGAACATTTCACACATCAATATACCACGTGTTAATTTCCCAATCTCAACAAATTTCGATTCTACCATTCTCTAATTTGTTTTTATTTTCCAAATCTTAGTAAATTCCAACCTTACCATTCTCTACTCCTTTTTATTTCTCGATTCACATAAACATACATAAATACACATATCCATTTAATTATATTTCTTAAGCAACAAATCACCCCATAATAGGTAATCATTATGAAGTTCAACCCTATTTTTCTCACATTCCTTGTAATCAAACAACTCATAAATAATCCAAATAATTGGACTTACTATTAATTTTCTCGATGCCTAAAGTACACAATAACACAATGTTATCTATCAATCAACGAATCGTCATTTTCTCTTCCACTATCTCTTATCATATAGCATAAATTTACATCATTCTAATTTCTATTATCATCCCATATAAGTGGCTACAAATCACCACAAAATTTTTTATAACACTAATGACCATTTGGCTCCAAAATAATTAAAATTCCACGCTGATTGTAAAATCTATAACTTCGAATGCCCAGCAAAATCATCAAAATCTGTTCAAATCGTACTAGATTACAGACACACATAGTTCCAACCCAACAACTTATAACATTTCCAACCATCGGATCATTACAACTACCACACTTACATGCTAGTCATTTCTAAATCCATTAAAAAAATAATTTTCTATCATTTTTGGTTCCATACATTCGAGCTAGAGAGCCAGTGATTTCTGCCACCACGACATGTAATCACACACACTAAATAATGCATGATATGCCAATGTTTGAACTATGAAGACTTTCAAAACTTTATAGACCATGCTCTGATACCACTTTGACACGACCCGTCCCGAATCACCCTAGTGGACCCGAAACGTGACGTGCGCCGATGATAGATGCTGACTAGATATCAAGTCTATCACCAACGCTGACTATGGGTTATTTCAAAAAATGCAACAAAATCAAATGCTTATATAAAATATAATGCGATGAGCCTAAAATATTTACTTCGTGCTTCATCAATATGAGTTATAATATTCAACATGTCGTGTGGCTCTTTTTTTGAAATTATTAGGCTCTTCCAGCTAAAAAGAATCAATTGCTACCTATAGGAAAAATCGTGGAAAAATATATGAGTTGATAGCTCAGTGAGTGGAGAAGTTCGAAAATAATTATACTTTTTCAGTTTTACATTTCTATCGAAAATCGAATTCATATCATTTAATAATTCACAAGATAACATCATGTAATTTTAACCAAAAGTGAAATATTTACATAAGGTCATTAAATATCATCTCAAAATCATGATATAAACATCAGCTAATAACCATGCTATAATCTCATCACATCAAATGTGCTGAAAAATCCACCAAAAATGTACCCTCTGACTGACATATATAATCTGCCTCTCGGGCTACGAACTTTTGCCACGAGCCTTTGGCTCTTCCGTGAACGAAAGTCGATCTCAAAGACCTCTCATAATCAATTCTAGAACACGGCCAAGGCCTTTCAGTAAACTATATGTACACGGTCAAAACCCCTTCATCCTCGGTCCAAGACCCCTCAATGTAGTATAGAACACAGCTAAGGCCCCTCAGTAAAGTAGAAGAAATACATAATCACGGGTACTTTTCTGGTCGATCTCAAAATCATATCTCATATTCCAATTCACAATGTACCGTATACAAGCTTTGAAATCCTGCATGTATCAGAATAACAGATATTTCCATATAACCATATAATTCGAACACATAATTGTATATAATTGTACATACTTTAACAATAAACTTAATTTATAGATACTTTAAAAATATTTATATTTTTCTACTCACAGTACTATGTTCGCAAAATCAATCCGGTTGGTAAGCTGTTCTGATGTCAGTCTCGTCACCTGAAATACGATATAATTTTTAAATAAACAATTAATTATTTTAAATAATTTCAATAATTAAATAGGCGATACCCAAACTTAATCATTTTATGTTTAAGCGATTTCTAAGGTCTCTTTGATCACTAAAACTAGTTTTTCTTTCATCTTATTGAATTTTATAGTTTATTATACTTAATCCTTTCAATAAAATTGAATTTAATCTAACAATCTAACAACTATAAAATCAAACATAACTTGGCAATACGTAACCGCGTGATACGTTTGACTCTCTTTTATATATTTACATATTTTATAATTAAGGTATTACACCTTGACAGATTTCGCGCACCTGTAGACGTCAATCTTCTGTAACATTAGAATATTGCCAAAACTAGAAGGGATCATTTTCAGATAGCTACAATATTGCAATGCTAGTACTTCAAGACTTGGGAAATTATCGCTTGAGGCATTCCATTCTTTGAGGTCTGCAGATGTGAGTTTCAAGAATTTAAGTTCAGGGAATTCACTTGAGGCGTTCCGTATCCTTTCATCAAAATAGACAAATCCTAATTTGTGAACCTCTAGGTTCAGCAATCCCGAATTATCTCCATTTGCTCCAGAGAAATATGTAAACGATTTAGTGTCAATTTTTTTAGATTTAAGGGTAGAACGATCAGTCTGGAACGTTGATAGTTCATAAAAAAATTCACTGAAATGAGGTGATTAAGAGAGTCAAAAGAATAATGGCGTTTAGTTGTCAATCTACATTTCACTTTGCGAAGATTGGTGCAACATCTCAAAATTTTCTCATTTGTTTCATCGGAAATTATAATCATAGACATACTTTGTACGTTATTACTTATCTGGAAGTTTTGCTCCTTAGTTGCTTGCCGACGAATAGATTCACTGAAGTGTCCACTGTCCCTAAAATTCACGTGTCTCAAACTCATCATAGTAAGAAGGACATCCGGTATTTCAACTATATTTGAAGTTAAATTGTCCACATAAAGAAATTCTAGTTTGTGGAAGCTTTCCATTGGTAGCGGTTCACATGAAATTGCCAAGTACCTCAAGTGAACCAGATTTTCAATTCCTATTACAATATGAACTCTACGGCTTCTGGAAATTCCAAGGCACTAAGAACATTGAAGCTGCTTGGGATTAAACTGGTCATCACACGATTATGACATCGAAGAGAGCGCATGTGTAGGCCAAAAGGCAAAGAGCACCTAGAATGGCTCTCAGAGATACGGAGACTGTGGTAATGCTGATACATGCATACTTGACTCAAGAAAAGTGGTGGATGATCATCGTCAATCATAACAACATAATCACACCATCGACATAATCATATATATATATATATATATATATATATATATATACACATATATATATATATATACATATATAAACACAGTCCCTGAAAAAGAGGTTATTTCAAGGATTTTAAGGGTGTTGTATATATATATATATATATATATATATATATATATATATATATATATATATATATATATATATATATATATATATATATATATATATATATATATATATATATATATATATATATATATATATATATATATATATACATATATACACATATATATATATATATATATATATATATATATAAATATTATTAGTATGCTAAAAACAAAAATGGGAGAAAATAGAACAGTAAACTTACAATTTGAGCACCTTCAAAAAGTTCTTTTCTTCACCTATTTTCAAGCATATTTCACGCAGTAGATCATGAACCTTACAAGTTTTGACTTGACTATCAAAGTTTCGTTTGGAAATAAATACCAAGCTCCTATCAATTAGTTGCATCAAATATTCTAGGGCCACATCCTCTAAGCATTTATGATCTTCCTTCTTTATAAATCCTTCGGCCTTCCAAAGAGATATCAATTCTTGTACTAGGATTTCCTCATCTTCCTCAAATGCTCCAAAGTAAAGAAAACATTATTTCAAATGGTTCGGTAAATGTTCATAGCTAAGTTCCAATATCTTCATGAATTTGTTTGGGTTGTCCGATATATGTGAACTTAAATTTCTTGCAACTTCTTGCCACAATTGTTCTTTCTTCTCCGTGTTTGCAAGAACTGCAGCTATCACAACCACTGCAAGTGGTAGGCCATTGCAACTTGTTGCAATTTTCTTCCCAATGTTTAACAATTCTTGAGGACATTTTTTATCTTCAAACACCTTCCTTTTTAATAATTCCCAACATTCAGCATCCGACAGAAAAGAAAATTCATTTATACCACTATAAGGTGAAGCTTTCGAACCAACTTCTTTATATCGAGTGGTGAATAAGATTTTGCTCCCAGCTTTATCATTTGGAAAATATCTTTTCAAATCATTCCACACATTGATATCCCATATATCATCCATCACAATGAGGTGCCGCAATTCTTTTAAGGCTTTGTAAAGTTTTTCCACCAAACTTTCTTCCTCCATATCCATAAATGTTTCTCTTTGATCACGATCCATTGAGCTCAAAATTTCAATCAACAAATTTTTCTTATTACATGTTTGAGAAACAACACACCAGGAATGCTTGTCAATAGGATCGACAAGAGAAGGATCATTATATAGTTTATTTGCTAACGCGGTCTTACCAAGTCCAGGCATACCAAAGATGGAAATAATTTGCAGCTGGTCTAGTCCTCTAACAAGTTGTTCTAAAATTTCATTAGCCACTTTCTCAAACCCTACAACAATGTTTCCAAGAGCAGGATATTTTGTAGATTGCGATGATACCTGTTCAACTGGATATTTTGCAAATTTTGATATTCCAACTGCATCAATTGTTACAACCCACATTTTGACCTAGTCAAAGTCAATAGTGGAATTTTCAAAGTCAAGTCAATTAAGGACTAAAATGAAATTAAATATTTTATTTGGGTTTATTTTGCAATTGGCAAAATATGAAGGTTAAATTGGATACGTTTTAAAGTTGGGAATTTACTTATATATTTTTGGAAGTTATAGGATTAAATGTGTTATAAAGAAAGAGTTGAAGGACTTCCTTTATAATTTTGGGTTAGTGGACCATTATATTCAACCATTGACCCATTTTTTAATCTCAAACACACACACACACACACACACACTCTAAAGAAACGGGCAGAGAGCTGGAGACCGAAAATAGGGAGAAAAAATAAGGAAAATAAGAGAAGAAAAAGAGAAAGAAGGAAGAAATGAAGAGAAGGGAAGAAGAGGAAGTGAGGTAAGGTTATTTTCTCCAAGTTTTGGGTTTAATTTATCCATTGTTCCAAGTGATTAAGGTGTGACTTATGTTAAATTTTTAGGGTTTTAACTTGTAGTAATAAAATGTCAAATTTAGATGATATATGTATGATTTGAAGCTCAAGTTTGGGGATTAATTTTGTTTCAGTTTCAGCAAGGTAGGCAATAAATTTTTTGGGACAACCCTAGAATTCGATTTCGGATTTTTGATTAATTAATTGTGGAAATGATTATATATATGGAATATTTCACTTGGGAGTTGATTTTATGGAACAAAATGTTTATTAAATGGGTGGAATTATGGTTACTAGTTTCACTAGATTGGAGAGTAAAATTAGTTTTAAAATCGGGAAGAAGGTTCTGTTGATGAATTAGTTATTAGACAAGGGATTAGAAAGTAGGATTAGCTCCAATTGATCAAAGGATTATTTGGAAAATTCATTCGAGCATCGACCAATTTTAGTTAAGTATTATAGAAGTAGATCTTAAAGTTTCTTAATTTAATAGTGGTTGATTAGTCATCTTGTTATGTATTCCAGGTGGTGACGAGGAGATTGGAAGAGCATATCGACCATCTTAGGTTCAGCTTGTATTATGTGAATGGATAAGCTTATTTTTCAAGAAATTAGTATTTATTTAATTTTTAATAACTCAGAAAATTTATTAATTCATACAGTCGATTTGACAACAGATTTTCAAAATAAAGTTGATTTATAACCGGTTGTTTTTAAAAGTTAAATTCAATTTAGTAAATCATTTTATTAGCATGTTATATAAGTATTAAATGTTTCAGCATATTTAAAGTTATTTTCTAAAAACCACCAGAAAGTACCTAAGTCATTTTACCCTCTTCTGCACTGGTGTGAATGTGTTTCCACAGTGTATGACTTCATATGGTTATTTTACTCACTCTGCGTTGGTGTGAATATGTTTCCACAGCGTGTGATAAGTATAGTGATTTTACCCGCTCTGCACTATTGTGAATGTGTTTCCATAGTGTATGACCATTTTATAGCTCTGCGAGCGTATGACGAGAATTACTGAATTTTAGAATTGAACAACCTTGCTATGTATATCAAGATTAATCGATACACGAGTTTGGTTATTCCGGGTATATTTTTGATGTGATGTTTCAGTATTACATAGATTATTAGATTTTAGAAATGCAATATACAGAATAAGGATGTTTATGATTATAGTATATTTTAGTTTTAATAGTATTATCAGATTTTAAATTATAGAATTCAGCTTATTCAGTTTAAAGAATAAATATTTTAGTTTATATGTCTGCGAAAAGAAATTTTATGCTATATGTCGGTTTTCAGAAAGATTTTATGAATGGAAAAGTATATTTTTACAAATATCCACTCACTAAGTTATAGGGCTATAAGCAAAAACTGTCAAACTGAAAAATTGAACTGAAATCGCATTTTAGAAAATGCCGATTTGGTGCCACGTGGACCCGGTCAACGAAATAGTTTTGTCCCAAACCAAACCGGTCAAAATGGTTTGGTTTAGGTTTAAGAATTTTAATTGCGGTTTAAAACCAAACCGGACCGGCGAAAAAATAAAAAAAATGAAAAAATGAATTTTTTTTGAAAATTCATCTAAATATGTAAAATTCAATAGTTTCATTTGTAGGTATTTTTGTCAATTTCTAATTTTCTAATACAGATATATTATTATTATTATTGTTATTATCATCCAATAATCCTAATATATATCCACTAATCTTAAGACTAACATAATCTATCAAAAGTCATTTTCCTCTTCAAATTTTAGATGAACTTAGCCGACATCCAACACAGTCTTGAGCCATCGACACCACACACTTCTTTTTCATATTTTTCACGTCTCTTCAAAGTTGAATAGTAGTCTATTATACCAAATCGAAGACAAAGAGATCCTAGACATTCGGTGATAATATTTGCTATGAATAAAGTTTAAGATCAATAATTTTTTTTGGAACAAACTAAGGTAAGAATCTGAAATTAAATGCGTTTCGTAACATCATACAAATGTAAACTTGTGTAATTGTTATGTTTAGATATTATAAATAATTATTTTATTATTTGTGGTTGGTTATTCTCTTTGTTTAATCAGTATCTTTTTTGTAGATATGATGATCACGAGGTCTTATTGGACATCATTATATTTTTTGGGCTTATATCTAATTTAGTAGACTTATATTGTAACGTTATTATATCGTCATTAGCCTGAAAAAGGTGAACAAAAATGAAAAAAACTATGCTTTAGTTTACTGTAATTTTTCTTTGATTTAGTTGGTATTTAAATTTATATTAGATATATTTAGCCTCTGTTTGAGCCATATTTTTCATATCATCATAACAAGAAAATTAATCGTTAGAGAGGAGGCTAGGTCCCACACATGAAACAGAAGGTCAAGAAAGGCGGTTGGACTTGTGGGATAATGGTCCAAATTTTCATTTTTTGTTCCAAAAATTTGATTCAAACAGGGGTTTCGTTTGTTTTAGATTTATTGCTAGTAAAATATAAATATATATTGAATTCAATGAATTAATGATATAAAAGTAGACGAAAAAAAATATATGGGGAAACCGGCTGTTTAAAATCGGACCAAACCATTAGGTTTAGGTTTGAGTTTTTTTCAAACCGTTCAAAATGGTTTGGTTTAGGTTTGGATTTTTCTCAAACTGATTTAAACGGTTTGGTTTGAAAATCTGTCAAAAACCGGTAAAATCGGACCGCTTACACCCCTACTGAGTTATAGGTTCACATTTTTTATCACTATTTCTCTTATCAGATAGTAGCTGAGTTGAGCACTACTGGGCCAGTTGATCTATTGAGTTGAGCCATAGATTGTCAAGCATTGTATGAATGATCTTTTCAGTTTAATAGTTCATATTTTGGGATAAACACCTCTTTTGGTCAGAAATTAGTTCCATGTGTTGGGCCTGCTATGTTTTGTGTATATATTATGCATTTTAGGTACTGTGGTTTAGAAATTGTTGTAAAAGTCGAATTGCCAGTATTGTATTTGAATCGTCGATATTTTGAGGGGACGGTTTACCCTATTTTAACCTATATGTACATGTTTGGGATATTTGATTTTATTTCCATGTGGTTTTAGTTCATTTTCAGAGAGAACTCTGCCGAAATTTTTATAAAATTATAACAGTTAAAGCATGTCAAGTTTGCTTTGGTGGTGGGTCCGACACTTTGCTGGTATCTACCATCGACGCACGACACATGTCAGATCCATTAGGGTGATTCGGGACGGGTCATGTCATCAACACTGTTCTTCATGTCTTTGATAGCCATCTTAATAAGCTGAATCTTCTCAATGAGTTGAGGGAGCCTGAGGGTGAGATACCAAACATGTGGAAATGAGTTAAATAACATATTCAACTTCATATGCTATGTCACTCATTTGTAACATAAGTTCATGTTCTGCTTCCTGCTGACCAGCCATATTGGTGACAGAAGATCCTAATGACATTAGCTCCTTATGGAGTGTTACAATTTGATCTTCAACACCAATTATCTTGTCAGGCTTGTTATTTATTGTGTCTATGAGATCATCAAGAACGGAAGCAACAATGAAGAGTGAAACCATGGCAGTCTTTGGAGTCATATCACTTGGCATCTTTGAGACTGCAATGCAGTGCTCCTTGATCTTTGCTTTCAAGAGCTCAAACTTTGTTAACAAATTGGACAGAGCAAGATCCCATTCTCCGCTCTCAGTAACCAAGAAAAAGGATGGCTCTAAGCAACTTCCTACCTCCTGGACCAGAGCTTTGATGCCCGTTATTTCTTTCTTGTTACTTCCAGCTTTACTCCTTTTTTCTTATTTCCGTCCTCTTTAGTGGTCTGCAATGTTATATCCTCAATCAAGTTGAAAAATTTATTATGCAGCAAACTTCCTACTTCATTGACCACAGCTTCAAAATCCGTCATTGCTTTTCCGGTTCCTTTCTTCATAGAAATAACCAAGAGAATAATGGTGAAAAAGAAGAAATACAAGAAACGTCCTACATCATTAACCATTGCCTCGATATCTGTCACTATATTCTTGTTGTGCTGCAAATGCATTACGGTATCCCCAAGAAAAGTCATAAGAAATCCAAGTTCGGTCTGGAGATTTTGGATGGAACCCTTTACACAAGCAATGGAACCAGCCTTAAAATATAGGATGACTTCTACCATTAGGAGGTGAAAGTTGATAAACGCTGCAACAACTAGATTAGGATTGAGATTAAGACTAATAAGGGACATGATTTGCTAGTTCGGGACTGTAAAGAAAACCTTAAGCTCTTGCCCAAATTTGATGTCCGGAATTCCCATTGGTTCAAGGTTCTCTAACATATCAATTAAATGTCCATGTTGGGATGACAACTTTAATATATGCTCGACCACAATTCTAATGAGGCAATTGTGCAAGGGCACTCTACTCTGAGACTCCTCTGATAAGTTGCCGTATAAGTAGTTGTCCAGAGAATATACAACGTAATACGATTCTTCCTCCTCTGATGACATTGACAATGGAAAATAGAAGGATAATTGAAGTGAATGTAGGCTACCCGATTTATTCG